CAAATGTAGTGTAGAAAGCTACATCGAGAGATATAGCGTCTGAGGTCTTAAAGGCTTGAAGGTAAACAAGCGGCCATCTAGCTCAGAAGCAACAAAACCCACATGTAAGAAACACACCAGCCTGTATGATCGTGAGGTGTCAAAGGGATCAGGTATCATCAGAACAAAAAATCATATCATTGTGAATGAGGGGGAGTGCAGATTGGGGAACCAAGGCCCATCTGTAGTCAACTGGACATGCCCTTGCAGAGGGTTGTAGGGAGGAGAAGAACCAGTCAGGGTGCAGTGTAGCAAAGATGAAACACACAACTTTCTTCTAGTTCTCAAATGCTTCCTCCCCCAACTATCATGATCCCAATTCTACCTTACAAATCTGGCTAGACCAGAGGATGTGCACTGGTACAGATAGGAACCACAAACTCAGGGAATCCAGGACAGATGATCCCTTCAGGACCAGTGGTGAGAGTGGCGATACCAGGAGGGTGGAGGGAAGGTGGGGTAGAATGGGGGAACCAATTACAAGGATCTACAAAAACCTCCTCCCTGGGAGATGGAGAACAGAAAAGTGGGTGAAGGGAGATGTCAGACAGTGTGAGACATGACAAAATAAGAATAATTTATAATTTATCAAGGGTTCATGAGGGAGTGGGAAGTGGGGAGGGAGGGAGCAAATATGAGAAGCTGATACCAAGGGCTCAAGTAGAAAGCAAATGTCTTGAGAATGATGAGGGCAATATAAAAATGTGCTTGATACAGTGGATGTATATAACAGAGTGTGATAAGAGTTGTAAGAGCCCGCAAAAAAATGATTAAAACAACAACATACACCCGATAACTAGTTTCTCATGAGGAAAGCGTCAAGCCTAAAGAGAAACTTTTAGATAATCACAAAGTGTTCCAGAGAACCCTTGCCCATGAAAATGAGCCCCCTTCAACTCTGATCCCAAGAATTTGGTTTTCAAATAATTTTTTTTCACATAAAATTTGGAATTGCTGTATCCACAGATGAATTGTCTGTTTTGCATAAACTTGTGAGTATGTTCCCACTTCCCCTCCCACACCTGTTCAGCCCACTTGTCTATCCCAACATCTAGGTGTGTGGACGGATGCACCATCTGTGTAGTCACAACACAGGTGCACACGATGAGGGGTCCTCCGAAGCCCTGGGGTGAAGAAGCCTGGTTATCCCACAATGCTCACTATAAGGAAGGACACATATACACAAAATAAACTCTGTTTAACTCTGCCTTAATAGATGACAATAGCTATCTGTGAAGTTTTG